AAACTTTAACCCCAGCTGAAGCAGCAAGATCTCTGTGAGTTTCAGGCTAACCCGATCTTCATAGGGGGTTCCAAGACAGGGCTACACAGAGAGACCCTGTCTCAAAAAAATAGTTATTAAATGAATTTTGGCTTGGGATTAGTACAGAGTTTTCAACAGTTTCTGAAATGGTCCTAAACATACTTGTGCAGTGTTATCGGCCTTGATGTTTTTTCATTTAAATTAAAAAAATCTTATCTTATATACCAATCTCATTTCCCTCTCCCTCCCATCCTCCCATGTCCCCCACCCACACTCCAGCCTTCTACAAGGACACTGGCTTAACTATGTTCATTTTGTCTTTATTCATAATAACCAGAAACTGGAAACGATCTATGTAAGTGGGGGACTGTAGACTACCAGGCCGAGAGGGAAAGGCATTAGTGGTGACAGAAAGTTATTTTTTCTTTCAGTTTTTTATTTAAATTAAAAACAAGCTTGTTTACATATCAATCCCAGTTCCCTCTCCCTCCCCTCCTCCCCTGTCCCCCACCAACCCCCTATCCCATCCCCTTTTGCATGTGGCCCATGAGCAGGAATAGAGACAGTTCTCTGGGAGACAGACTTTAGTGAATCTGTTCAATTTTATTCCAGAGTATAAGGAATATATAGGATTGGGGAGCCTGGGAACAAACCCTAACTTATGTTAAATGGCACACTCCTATGGTAACTAGCACAAGTCCTAGTTATCATATGTTAAGCAAGTGAGCCTTCTAGCAGGGATCTGTGCCAAGGTTCAAGCTAAAGATAAGTCAGACTTCTGGTTTAGAGACAGGCATCTGGTTTAGAGACAGCTTTCAGATAAAGTCAGTCCTCCAGGCCCAAGGACATTCTCCAGATAAGGACCAGTAGAGATAGGAAGTTCTGCTGGAGGGAGGGAGTCCCACGTTGTCAAACTTTTGAGATAACCTTCCAGGCCATGATGAGACTGCAACCTCTACCAGCCAGCATTGTCTTCCAACAAATCTAGATGCCTCTCAACTGGAGAATGAATAAAGAAAATATGGTAGCAGAATCAATTGACAGGGACTCAGGAGAGTTCTAAGAGATCAGACAGAGAGCCTGTAGAATTTTCACCTAGTTCCTCTGTATGTATGTTGTGGTTGAGTAGCTTGGTGTTCTTGTGGAATTCCTAACAGTGGGAGCTGGGTGGGGAGGGGCTGTCTCTGACTCTTGCCTGCTTGTGGGACACTTCCTTCTTTGATTGGAGTGAGACTACTTAGTGTACACTGTACTGTATAGCATATTTCACCATTCAACGAGAGTTACTTCATTTAAAATGTACTAATAAAAGAAAAATAGGGTCATAAAACAGATGATTAGAGTGCTAAGGTATGATGGGTTCAAGTGAAGTGCTTATGAAAGAAACTTCTTGAAATAAAAATTAGAACATTAATGATCACTGCTTGTTAAATTAGTTCTGAGATGATTATGTGTAGTTATTTTCTTTGGACTTGATTTTGATCTCCCTACTATAAAAATAGATTTATTACAATCCCTCAGATTTCACTATATTCTTCATATTCTCTTTATCATTATTATTTAAACATTTTCCATGGTCTTGGAGTTCTCTCTTTTACTTCTTCTGGGTTGCTTTTCTTTGGTTAGGGGCCACTTCCTCTTCTGAGATAGCATCCACATAAATAAATTTGAAGTTTGCCACTTTATTGTTCACCATGCCTGTCTCCATTCTCATAAATGTTTTGTAGATAATGTCTATGATATCTCCTTTTTAAGGAAAAAGACAAATACAAATAAAATTCCAAAGTACCATGATGCTGTAATGTAGCACGATAAATAAAAGACCCAACACCTGATACTGGGGTTCAAACTTCAAGAGGAAAATCAGAAAAGCAAAGTAGTTGGTCACTAGTTCTTATTGTTACCTCAGGCTGAAAGGGCTGATCTTGCTGCCTCTCCTCAGTGTGGCTGGAGAATGCTGAGACTGAATGACTTCCTATCCTCAGTGTGGCTGGAGAATGAATGCCTGATACTGGAACCTCGCTCCTGTCGTATATACCTCCCTTATGCTGGGATTGAAGGCATGTGATCCCAGGTCTCACCTGAGATCATCTTTGTGTGAGCTGTTTCTCTTTAGGACTGTATCAATCCTGTGTAAGATCTGGATGGCCTTGAACACACAGAGATCCGTCTACCTCTTAATCCTGAATTTTAGAATTAAAGGTGTGTACCACTACCTCCTAGCTTTTGGCTGCTGTGATTAAAGGTGTGTGTCTGGTTGGCTGACTTTGCTTTCTGAATCCTCAGGCAAGCCTTAATAAATCATAAATATATATCACCACACTGTAGTAATACATTAAAGTAAACTGTACAAACCTTAGAGTAATGAGGTTAATGTGCTACAAGTATTCAAGGATTACAGAAATAGATGTGAGCTCACTTCAATGGAAGCATTCATTACTTTTAGTGAAGGAAACACCAACATGATTGATGATGCTTTTCTTTTCCTTGTTATACCAACTTACTAAATTACATTTGTAGATAATACATGATAGGTTAAATACTCTTACTTTATTCTCATTTACATATGTATTGGGTAAACAGAATATGAAGGCACATTGCTTAAGTATTACAAAAAAGAAACAATGATGCTAAGTGACTTCTCAGAAGCCTACAAGAAGTTGAGAACAGGGTCAGAACTTGAACTCAAGTGTGTGAGCTTAAAAATGACCCTTTTCATTCCTGCTCCTAAATCAATGTAGGGATAAAGCATCAAACCATCAAAAAATGGATCAGCAAACTAAATAGAGTATTCTCTAGAGATGAAATACAAATAGCTGAGAAACATTTAAAAATATTTTCAATGTCCTTGGACTTTAGGGAAATGCAAATTAAAACTTTAAGATTTCATCTCACTCTATTTAAAATGGTTAAGTTACAAAAATGATGACAAAATGCAGGTATTAATGTGAGGGGAATTGTGTGGAGATTCCTCAAAATGATAAAAATAGATCTACCATATGGCCCAGCTATACTATTTTTGGGCATAGACTCAAAGGACTCCATATTGTACTCTAGAGCTATCTGCTCATTTCTATTCATTACATTTTTATTCAAAATATCCAGGAAATGGAAATAGCCTAGAGGCCCATTAGCTGAATGAATATCCATGAAAAACTTTGTAGAGTTGTTAAAGAAAGATGAAATTCACATGTAAATGGATGGATCTAGAAACAATCATTCTGAGTGAGGTAACCTAGACCCAAAAATACAAACATTTTTTAATCGTCTGTGAATGTTAGCTTTGAATCATCAGATATATGTGTTTCATTTGGAATACCCACAGAGTCAGAAAATTGCTAAATGACCATGGAGAAGGGCTTTTGGTGGAGGGAAGAGAGAATACAGTGGTATAAAGATAAAAAAGGAACATAGGAATAGAAAGGGTTAAACTGGGTTGGGAAGCAGAGCATAGGGTAGAAGAGGAGTATAAAGAAGGGTAAACAACACTAAGGATCTTTCAAAAAGGACATAGAAACCTCTACTGCAAAGCATTTGTGTGTTTGTGTGTGTGTGTGTGTGTGTGTGTGTGTGTGTGTGTGTGTGTGTAGAGTTAAATTACAGCTGCCCTATAAGGGTCAGTAATACTTCTAATAGACACCAGAGGCTAACAAACAAAAAGCCCATTGATTGCCAGGAATTGTTTATTTCTTTTAGAGTTGTTCAGTGATAGTCCGTGGGCTCCCAAACATTACTGTCTATTATTGCCCTTAGACTCCCAAACATTACAGTCTATTATTGTCCTTAGACTCCCAAACATTACTGTCTATTGCCACTGCTCTTTGGTTACCTTCAATAACTTCATGATAAAACCCTATCCCTGAAGAAACCATATACTTGATTCATAGAACATGGCAAAATCAATCTGGCACATGTTTGGCAGCTTCATCCTTACTGGCTAGCTTTCACAGTGTTGGAAGGTGCTATCAAAGCTACCAGAGGGGAAAAAACAATTGTCAGACACACTCATCTGTTAAGGATCTAAGCTATAATAATGACTGGCCTGGCAAGACATGTCCACTGGTGCAATAGTTGAGCAAACATCAAGGGAGTAAACTACCACGTTCTGATTGGATTTAAGTTCCATTCTACAAGGCCATCGGTTTTGGGCCAAGAACCTGTGGCTAGACAGAACTAACACTGTTATTCTGCTAAATGGATATAGTATTAAAGCAACTCCTTATGATATATTTTTATGTTCATAGACCGTTGCATCTCTAAATGACCCACTGAAAACCTTCTATTTGCAGTAGATGATGATTAACACAGTGACCCACAATTGGGCAAGGTTCAGAGAATAAGAGATTACAGAATTTCCAGCCTTAAATGAAAGATATATATCAACCCTCCCATCTAAATCCTTGTGGATCAATTTGGAAAGGGGAGAAGGAAGAGTATAAGAGGTAGATGACGACAAGGAAACATTATCTTTTGGACACAGCTGTACATTTGAATCCTCACTAGGTGGAGCACTATGCCCTAAACCTGTGCAAAACCAAATCTGATAAAATCTTAGAGTAGAGATGAAGTTGATATCATGGTCACACTCCTATCCCTGGAGACATTGCCAATTGTTAGCTTTTTGGAGAGGGAAAGACAGTTTTCTCTAAAAGTGTAACCACACCACTCCCCAGTAATTTTTCCATGATCCAATAGGTGACCATATATCTAATAATTTTCGGGAAACAGAAACTTGTCTTGAAGGATTTAAAAATATAAGGACACCCTTGTTTTGTTCCTGATTTTAGAGGAATTGCGTTGAGTTTCTGTCCATTTAGTTTGATGTTGGCTGTTGGTTTACTGTATATAGCTTTTATTATGTTTAAGTATGTCCCTGTTATCCAAGATCTCTCCAAGACCTTTATCATGAAGGGGTGTTGGATTTTGTCAAAGGCTTTTTCAGCATCTAGTGAGATGATCATGTGCTTTTTGTTTTTCAGCTTGTTTATATGGTGGATTACGTTGATGGATTTTCGTATGTTGAACCATCCCTGCATCCCTGGGATGAAACCTACTTGATCGTGGTGAATGATTAACCCAGTCACAAAAAGAGAAACACGGCATGTACTCTCTCATATATGGATTTTAGACATAGATCTGGGGAGTGCCAGCCTATAATCCCATGTCCAGAGAGTCTGGGAAACAGAAACTTCATTTAGTGGCTGATCGAAGAAGAGGCAGACTCCCTCGGTTAAGTACTGAGCTGAACTCAAGAAAGCCAGTAACAGAGAGGGAGGACTGATGATCAAAGGGATTAAGACTGGGCTGGTTTAACCCCCCCAGAAACAGCTGACCAGACAAAGGTTAACTCTTGAATCCCAGGCATCAGCCTGGGAATCCAGCATGGGACTCATCAAGACCCCCTGAATGTGGGTGTCAGTGAGGAGGCCTTGGTAATCTATTGAGCCTTGGGCAGCAGATCAGTACCCATCCCAAGTATACACACGGACTTTGGACTCCCATCCAACAATGTGAGGTGCACTCTCACCCTGAACTCTTGGGGAAGGGTCTAGGCCCTGCCCTATATGAAATGACAGACTATGGACACCCCCATGGAGGGCCTCACCCTCCCTGGGGAAATGAGGGGATAATGGGGGGGGTTAGGGGGAGGACACGGGAGGAGGGGAGGGAAAGGGAGAGGGCCCTGGAACTGACTTGTGAAGCAACCTTGTTTCTTATCTAAATTTAAACTGAAAAGTAAATAAATAAATAAAAATAAAAATATAAGGAACAAAGTTGGGTGGATAAGGAAAGAGAGGATGGATTTGGGAAGAGTTTGGGAAGGGGAATGAATATGATCAAAACAGGTTGCACAAAATTCTCAAACAACTAATAAAAATGTAGTCATAATTCATTTTCAAAGTAAAACATTTGATTTTAGTCTACTTTAAACTGATACTATCTCTATGAGAAATTCCAAACCTCATTTTAAGAATTAATTCAATTTAAGTTTTACATGAACAAATTATAAGTTCACACTTAGATATATTTACACAGGTGGAAACTCAATCAAGAAACATTATTAGCACTTCCTTGTTTTTTGCCAGTTCTTAGTTACTACCCCTCCAAAGGTTATCAGCATTAGATGTATATAATTTTGAACTTATATTTGCCCTACTTTAAATATTCTCTCTTGTCATCCTCTATCTAGATATGTATTGAGTGATTTTGATATTTTTAGTCATTTAAGGATCAAGGCAAAATACATCATATGTTTATTCCAATGACAAATTTTTGTTCTGAATTTTATTATGTTTATTACATGAAGTAAAAAATAATAGTAACAGCCACACTCAGTGAGTACTTAGTATGATCTTAATAAGTGCAGTGTCATTTGTTTAGACATTTCAACAACTTATAAAGTTACCATGTTTCAATTTTAATATACTTAAAAATTTTATTCTTTGAAAGTTCCATACATTTATACAGTGTATATTGATCATATTCATCCATTGCCACCCTTTTCCATCTCTTTAGTTCCTCCATTCCATCACCTTACTGATTTCAAGTTCTCATTTTATTTTATTTGTTATTAATAACTCCCTGGGTCCAATTAGTGCTGTAACTATACATATTGAAGTGTGTCCTTCCACTGTGACACGAGCTACCTGTCAGTGGCCATATCCCCCAAAGACTGTTATATTTTCTTTCCCAGTAGCCATTAAATGCCAATAGTTCTTCAGTTCAGGGTGAAATCTCATAATTCCCTCCCCCGTTCTTGCTTGAGTTTCAGCTGTCTTGCTCTTGTACATTGATGCATGCAATGGCCATATCATGTACAGAAGTCTGTATTTCAAATCTCTCCTATCCATCTGCTAGCTCTTACTTTCTTTTCACTATGTTTCCATGATAGTCCCTGAATCTTGGATAGTGGGAGGTTGATACATATGAACCACCCATGGCTTAACATCACTCAGAGTTCCTAATACCTGTCATTTTGCCTAGTTATGAGTCACTAAATTATCCACTACCTACTGCAAAAAAGTTTTTCTGACAAAAGTTATGAGCAGTGTAAGTCAATGATTATAAACATAAACATTTAGAATGAATTTACACAGCATGATCATTTAGTAAAAGAATGACAAGTAAGTTCCCAGCCTAGGGTCCATCAGCTCTTGCTATTTTGACCAGGTTTATAGTACAAAGCATGAAATACTTCCTGTGAAGCAGGCTCATAGCGAGTTAAGAAAGCAGTTAGTTACACCAGTACACAGTCTTTCCACTATGCACCAGCAACCACATCTTGCCTGGCAGATTATTATTGTAGCACATGGTATATACATGCTTATATATACAATGCAATATGTATTATGTTTATACCATCAATCTACATCACATAGTGAACAACCAAGAAGCTCTGCTTTGAAAAAGAGGAAACTGGAGCAAAGAAAGGTTAGAAAACATACCTAGAGTCACACAGGTCATGAATAGCAGAGCTGGGATAGCTTTCTTGAAATGGCACCATTGGATGTATTGAAATAAAGCTGTTGTATCTCAATTCAGAGAGAATGCATTTCATCGTAATAGTAAGTTTAATGAATTATTTAAGTATATTTGTCTATTCAAATTGGATGGCCCTGTATACTTCATATGAGTTCCTTCTTATACAATTATTTAAAATTCTTGAATTTGTCTTTAATCTACTTGTATTTAATTATATTCATATTTTAAATCAAAAGGTTAGCAACAATTATCTCTGGTGTGTTCACATATCTTAAATCAATATGTTAGCTACAATTATCTCTGGTGTATTCACATATTTGAGTTCTTGGTGAAATGCCTCAATGGGTAAAGGTCATTGCTGTTCAGCCCGATGATAGAGTTTGATCCATGGGAAGAGGAAATTGACTCTGCAAGTTGGCTTCCAACCACAACATAACTTAACATCATGCTGCAGTATGTGCACACATGTATACACCCACACAAATAAGTAAATACATATTTAAAATCTTACTAGAATATAAGATATTTACTCATATTCTTAGAAGTTTTTAAAAAGCAATATTTGCTGGTCCATGTTATTGTTCACTTTTAATTGTGATATTAACTAGGTTACTTTTGTTCCAAGTAACTGAACACCCAACTAAAACTAGTTTAGACTTTGTGCAACATGCCTTTAATCCCAGCACTTGGGAAGTAGAGTTACATAGGTCTCTGTGAGCTCCAAATAGGCCTCATCTACACGGTGAATTTCTGGCTATAGGGGTTACACAGTGAGACTCTGTTTCAAAAAAAATCAGTAGTTTAAATAACAGAGGTTTTTTTTTTTCATAAATTTCACACAGTAAGAAGTCTGAAACTAGTGGATCCTAGAGTCAATCCAGTCACTCAAATATTTATTTTGTCCACTTTTCTACTCTGCAGACTCCAGGATATTAAAGTGGCTATATCTGTGAAGGCAAGATGACCACATGAAGTTCCATCAGTTACAGCCATCCCAGGCTTTAGGCAATGAGGAACAGAAGGGGCTAGAAGAGAAGGCATTCCTTTCTTTATGAGGAGAAAACCTTTCTGAGAATCCCTATCAAACTTGCTCTTGGTTCGTATTTGCCATATGACCACTCTTAGCTGCAAAGTGAGCTATAACACAGAAATAACTGGAAATTCTAGTTTCTATGTGGAATGAAACGTGTTTACTGAGTTGCTAAGAAGAAATTTGTTGCTATATATGTAACGACCATTGTGTGCTTACTATAAAAAATTAATAGCAAACTTTGGTGTCTTAGGATGGATGACCCCGTTATTCACTGAAGCCATACTGAATTGATATGTGAAGATATGTGAATTTTTAACATTCCCTTCCCTGGATTTAGTGCTACTGTATGAATGGAGTCTCACTTTATCCAAGAACTTTCTAAGTGAATCATAATGAATTTGTTCCATACTTACTGGAAGTTTCAGGAATGTGGATTTTGATTTAATAGGAAAAGGTTGTTTCTGACAGAACTTTAAGAAGACTGCTTGTAGAAGGCCTCAGTGACCTGTCACTGGACTATGTAAGCAGAATTCTTGAATGACAAGAGTAATTGTAAGCTGAATCAAGAAGGGCTGGGATTTGTCACAAAGTCCATTAGAAAATAGATGTGAACCTAAACGTGTGTGTGTGTGTGTGTGTGTGTGTGTGTGTGTGTGTGTGTGTCAGGGGGTGGGTCTATGAAAGAGAGAACAAAAGAGAGAGAGACAGACATTAGGTTTTAGTGAGAAAGTTTACTGTGGTCCTGTCCAAGTCTGAGGAATTATATACTTATATACTGTCAATTGTATACTTACTTGACACAATAAAATTACAAGGATTTCTATAAAGTGATGGTTAAGAAATAAACAATGTAATGATGTCTGTCTATAAAATAAATCTTAAAAATATTTCGCAAAGCCAGAAACTCTATTTCTTTCTCTAGACACTGCTTGTTAAAGTGAAAGTTCAGTGTCCCAACTGAATTACATCTGTGTTTGTTGTCCTGAATAATAGTTCCTTCTTCATCCTTTTATTTTCTCTTCCTACCAGGTCTCCTTACCTGTTTTTGCCTTCATTCCATTTTCTAATTTTTCTTTTTGTTATTGACAGTGCTACACATTTGTACCTTCTGATTCTTGCTTAGCAATCCCAGTAGTTATGAAGTAGAGATCTCCGATTCTAATCACTGTTGAAAATTGTATTCATAGAAGTATGTTCCAAGTAAAGAATCTTCTTTGGCAATAGTAAAATATTATGAAACCGTGTGTAGGATAAACAGGTAGTCTTAGGAAATAACACAGAGTTGAGGATAAACATAAGCCGTATACAATTCATAGAAAAATCACTTGTATTCTTAGAAACAGGAACAAGCAGGTACAGGGAACCAATAAGTCTACAATGAAAAGTTAATTAGCAATTTACACAGGCTGGGAGGAAAAAGTTCAAAATCCATCTTCATGTATCTCCTATATAAGCCACTCACAATCTCTGTTCACCAGCTGAGTATCATAAATGAAGGAGAACTAAGTTCATTTGTTAAGACTGCTAAGGGTTCTGCTTTTCCCTCACAATGGCGGACTGCAAATTTATGCTGAAACAAGTTCTGCTCATCTGCTGTTTCTTGATGGTACACTGCACACAACGTAAGAAAATTTTGCTTGCTTTATTTCTATAGGTTGAAGACATAATGAATTAGTTACATTTCAATGCCCAAGCCTAAGGAATTAACCAACATTCTAAGCAAAAATTCTGCCATTAAAATTTTGTAATTTCTGGGCATATCTGCTTTATTTGAGATGTTTCAAATAAGGATTTTTCCTTTTGAAACTAGCATGTTTGTTTCTGATCCTTTAGATAACCATGAAATGTGAAAAATTCTGTGGGAAAATAAGTATAAAGTTTAGTTGAGTGGATGATGGGAATTGGTTTAAGTTATTTATATTTAGCAATTTGTCTCTCAGAATGTGTAAAAGTTGTAATTTTTAAAGGAAACTTTCAAGCTATAATATATTAAGTTATATATTTATTTGTTATAATGAAATCACATGGATTGCTATACAGTGATGGCTAAAGAAATAAATGATGTAATAAATGTGTCGATAAAATAAAGTCTAATATTGTTGCTAAGCCAAGAACTGTGTTCTTTTCTGAACATTGTCTGGTAAAAACAGATGTGACTTAAATTTCCCCTAAGCAGCAATATTTGTTCCAGTAATTGTGTTGGGGAATTCTGTAATGTGTAGTTAGTGGGAACGTTTTTGTTAGCTGAAGTTGCTTTCATCTTTAAAAAACTGAGAATCAAAGTTTCGATGTACTATACTGTACTGCATTTTTGGTTTTGCTTATAAATCCCTTTATGTTTTGTGGTGTTTCTCTTTTTTTCTTTGAGTAATATATTTGAATAGTAAAATCAGAAACAGTTTGGTTTCCTTCTGAGCTCTATGGATCTGCTCTTCATAGTTTACCATTTCCTATGTCAAACAGATTCCGTGATTCAGACAATTATGAAATCTCACTGTATAAACATTTTGATTTTGTCTATGCTAGTAGAAGATAAAAATAATGAGTTTCTGAAGCCATAGCTTTGGCAAAATAAGTCTCTTTGGAGGCCTTGAAAAAAAACATTATGTTTTGGGGCTGATGTGCCTATTATTGAAAATAGATTCTTCTCTCATACAATAAATCCTGACCAGTTTCCTCTCCCTCCACTTCTCTAAGCCTCCCTTGCCTCTGCCCCTATCTACTCCTGGTCTGTTTCCCTTCAGAAAATATCAGGATTCCAAGAGACAACAGTCAAACACAACAAAGCAAGATACAATGAGTCAAGGCAAAAGCTCTCACACTGAACCTGGACAAGGCAAATCAAAAGGAGGAAAATTGTCCCAAGAGCAGGCAAAAGAGTGAGAGATACATCCAATGGCTTCTTTAATCTACTTGTGTAAATCAGCATCTTTTTGCAAGGAAGGGGATGCAGCTATCATTTCAGGATAATAGGAATAAATTGAGGTTACACATGTCATTTTTATACTGCCTCTACCTTTAGGTAGGATGTTTTTGTTTCTTACCCAGAAGAGTATACTCAAATTTAGTTGGAAAAAACATTAGCTAACCTTTGGCCCATAGTCCTATGGATCAGCATTATAAAGCCATATTTTCAAAATAGTCAGCATAAAATAGTATATAGAAAAGATATTTAGATAATCATCATGCATTTTGAGGCCTAATCCTTATCAGTATAATGCTTGGAAATCTTATACTACACAAAATTATTTTCATTTTTGTATTTTAAAATTTTAATTTTCTTTAATGAAAATATAATTTCATTATTTTCCCTCTCATGTCTGTTTCCTCCTGCTCCCTCCAACATGAAGAATTTTCTTAATATCCAGAACTTTGCACATGTGTAGTATGTATATTTTAAACATTTTTTCTGTTGTTGAGATGATTTTTAAATTTTACTGTTTACAGCCAACTGTATATCTGTGAAAGACTTTGATAATTGCCTAGGAAACACAACAGATTTCTGCCCAAAGGATATTGCTTGTGCATGCAAAGATGAAAAGCCTTTTTGCAAGTAAGTAGGTATTTATGCTACAGAAAAAATTAAACATGGTATATTGTAAATAATTTTGTGTGTTTTTTTTGGTTTGGTACATGCAATGATGTAACACTTGGAAATAGTAATATACTCAGAACCAGTTCTATGCACATGAAACAATGGTTGTGGTCTTCCTAGAAGCTTTCTTTTGACTTTATGAGATTAATCCTATTCAGATTTGCTTTCTGCAGATAGTCTTTATATTTTTAGTAAACTATTTTATAATTCTAACAAACAAGGAAAAGTTAGGTGTGTATCATTTTATTCAGTAATGAATAAAGGTCTTTTGTTTGCAAATCAGGATATGATTCAGACATACTATGCCATGACAGCCTTTCTTTTCCCAGGTTTTAAAGCATAAAAGTATGTTGAGTCATAAATTTTTATTTTAAAATTCAAGCAAATTTTCTATTTTTCTTACCATAAGATGAGAGTGATTGGAAGAGTAGATAGTATACGAGTAAGAAAGCTTGCCTCGTTGACTGAAAGAGAGGGTAGCCATAGAGTACCTAATAATGAAAATGAAGAATGACATCACTATGTACAGGCAAGGGTTCTCAGGTTTGAAAAATTTTACAGTTGGAAAAGTTAGATTATGTTTGTGACATTCCAAAAGACTATATTTTTATTTCCATGTGTGTACTATTTTATCTTCCCTCTTTATAAGAGTTTATTCAATCAATCAATCATTTAATAGAAGTGTTTGCCTAGTATTAAAAATTGCTGGAATAACTGAAAACAATAAATAATGATTTTAAACAGTAAGGCATGTATGTTGGCCTGGTGGCATGTAGATGTATTCTCAGCTATTCTTGATGTGGGAGCGCAAGGATCACTTAATCCCATGGGTTCCAGGGTACTCTTGCCATAAAACAGCAAGAGACATGTCTTAAAACAGTAACAACAAACCTAACCTTTTACTTTTTTTCCCTTTGATTGAACATGAACTCCTTTCTCATGTAATATATCCTGATTAAAGTTTCTCCTCCCTCTACTTCTCCCAGGTCCACCCCACCTCCCATGCCCTCTGGATCCACCCCCTTTCTGTCTCTCATTAGAAAGAAAAGAGTTTCTGAGAGAGAGATAACAACAAAATATATTAAGATAAAGTAAAAACTATCATATCAAAGTTGGACACAGGCAACCCAACAGAAGAAGAGTCCCAAGGGCAAGAACGTGATTCAAAGACCTACCCACCATTCTCACAGAAGTACCAATAAAAACGCTAACTAAAAGCAATAATATATATGTAGTGGACCTGGTGCAGACCAATGAAGGCCCAGCGCTTGCTGCTCCAGTCTCTATGAGTTCATTTGAGCCTTGCTTAAGTGACTCAGAAGACCTTGTTCTGTTGTCCTCAACCTCCTCAGGCTCTTAAATTCTTTTCCATTTCCTCTTCCTTGGGATTCCCTAAACTTTAAGGAGAGTGGTTTGATGGAGACATCCCATTTAGAGCTGTGTATTCCAAGGTCTCTCTGTGTATTGTCTGGCTGTGATTTATTTTGTATCTGTTCCTATCTACTGCAGGAGGAAGCCTCTCTTGTAAGGACTGGATAAGGCACTGGTCTATGCATGTAGCAGAATATTATTAGGAGTCATTTTATTGATACTATTTTTAGAATAGTGGTGTTTGGTTTTACCCTAGGTATCTGGGTTATGGAGTATGGCTTCAGGATCAGTATCAGGTATGGGTTTATTCTCGTGGATTAGACCTTAAGTCAAATCAGACATTGGTTGACTAGTCCGACAAGTTTTGTGACACCATTGTCCTAGCATATTTTGCAGACAGGAGAGATTACAGGTCAAAGGTTTTGTGGTTGGCTTGGTGTTTACATTTTTTTCAGTAGCCTGCAAAGTATCTTTCCTCAGAAAAGACTATAACACAGAGGTGAAGGCTCCATGTAGGCATTAACTTGATTTCTCCAAGTTCAATGTGTTGTGTGTGTATAGTCCTCTGATATGGGACACTGATATCAGTTTTCAGAGAGCAACCTTTTGTCTTAGCAACAGCCTGGATTGTTTGGGGATTTCCATGTGACCATCTTTGCCAACAACTTAAATGAATGCAACCTAGTCCTTCCACTGGAAGTCTCACCTGGCTACAAGACATGACCACTTGAGACTCTGAATCCCCATGACTATGAGTGCTCATTAGAACCACCTTCATACATTCTAGGAAGTTTTCACAGCACTAATTTTTCACACATCCAAAAATGTCCCCCAATCTCTGCTTTCACTCTCTCTGTCCCATCTCTCCCCAACATGACCCCCAGCTTCTCACCTCCCACCCCTCCCAGGGAGATCCATGTGTCCCCTCAAGACAAATAAGTAATGTAGACAGCTTTCCCATGCTAACAACTTTAGGGCTTGCTCACCCACACTTCTGTCAATGGAGTAGACTTTGTTCTGCTATAGGATAATAGAGTCTCTCATTCTCTAGTAGACATTGTACACTGTTAGAAACTCCAGTTCTGAAAGGGTATATCTACCTTCAGTTTCTTTTCTCAGCTGTTACTAAAAATCCAGGTGAACCTCTTGCTCTTTTCCTTATCACAAAGTCTAATTCATGCCATCTGCTGTACAGATGACCTCTAGCTACATTGGCATACCTGGCAATTTCTAATGTCTGAGATTGGGTAGTAAACTAGGTGAGGAATTTTTGAAGCTGATCGACAGTCCAGGAGCCAAAGTAAAGCTTATATAACTCATACTATCTTGGTAATTGGAAGGTTTGTGTGTAATGTTGCATGTTGCCTGAAGTTAAGCTGGTCTTATATCTATTTTATGACTTATCCCATCTTAGCTGTTTATGTGAAACCTCGTACTACTTGGTAGCAGGGTCTGTTTTCCTTTCCCTATCAACACTAGAACTGGCTACCTGATCCTTGTCTCTAAATTGCTCCACCAAAGTTTGTAATGTCCTCCTTTACAGAATAGCCCTCCAAGTTCTTGAGAGCTGGAAAGGCTTCATCACAATTGTGTAAAACTTCTGGTTGGCTCCTGACAGTCTTCAGTTTGAAGCAACCATGGCCCCACTCTTAATCATGTCAAGTCAGAGAAATCCAGGCTGAGTATCCATCAGTACTGGAATGGGGAAGCTCTTCTTCCTCTGGGTGAAACAGAACAAAAGAACAAAAATTTAGAACTGTTTTTCATACCTAAGTCTCTTCCAAGATTGCATTTGGGGCTATCATCAGAAAGTAAATCATAACATATCTGCTCTCTTGTTGTCTTAACTGGTCCTTAATTCATTTTCCCACTTCTGTTCTTTTTTTCTTTTACATTTTCTTTCTTTTTTATTTAAATTAGAAACAAACTTGTTTTACATGTCAATCCCAGTTCTCTCTCCCTCCCCTCCTCCCCTGCCTCCCAGTTCCCTATCCCATCCCCTTTCTGCTCCCCAGAGAGGGTGAGGCCTTCCTTGGGGGATCTTAAAAGTCTGTCACAATATTTGGAGGAGGGCCTAGGCCCTCCCCCTCGTGTCTATGCTGAGAGAGCATTCCTCTATGTGCAATGGGCTCCCAAAGTTCATTCGTATACTAGGGATAAATACTGATCCACTACCAGAGGCCCCATAGATTGCCCAGGCCTCCTAACTCTTCAGGGAGTCTGGATCAGTCCTATACTGGTTTTCTAACTCTCAGTCAGGGGACCATGAGCTCCCCTTTGTTCAGGTCAGCTGTCTCTGTGGAATTTTCCAACCTCGTCTTGACCCCTTTGCTCATCACTCCTCCCTTTCTACAACTGGATTCCAGGAAGTTCTGCTCAGTGTTTAGCTGGGGGTCTCTGCTTCTCAGCTACTGGATGAAGGCTCTAGGATGGCATATAAGGTAGTCATCAATCTCATTATCAGGGAAGGGCGTTTAAGGTAGCCTCTCCACTATTGCTTAGATTGTTAATTGGGACCATTCTTGTGTATCTCTGAATATTTCCTTAGTGTCCGATTTCTCTTTAAACTTATAATGTCTCCCTCTATTAAGGTATCTCTTATATTGCTCTCCTCTATTCTTCCCCCGACTCAATCTTCATGTTGCCTCATGTCCTCCTCTCCCCTCCTCTTCTCCCCTTCTTTTTCTCCTAACTCCCTCTCCTGTCCCCCCATTCTCTGAATTTGCTCAGGAGATCTTGTCCCTTTCCGCTTCTCTGGAGGAGCATGCATGTCTCTCTTAGGGTCCTCTTTGCTTCCTACCTTCTCTGGCGGTGTCCCCACTTCTATTCTTATTTTCTTTTTTTTCCTTTCAAGTCTTCTGACATATTCTTATTTTCTTCTTTTTCCTTTCAAGTCTTCTGGCAAGCTACACCTTGTCCTGGCCACATTTGATCTTTCCCAGGCTGGCAGTGGCCTCGCCCACACAATAAATATTCTGGTTGACTATCAGGATAAAGAGAAAGAGAGGACCAAGGGATTACACATTATCAAGCAACATTTTGTTACAGCTATTTTTCATTGGGCTATAAAAATGGCTTTATCATGTCCTTGAAAGACTTGAGCACACATTTCCGCTGAATGCTCAATTCTTGCATAATACCTTCCTCTATGTTTTCCCATGAGGATTGTTTTTGTCCTAGAAGATCCTGTTCAATTGGTCATGCCTCTCTCCCGCCCAAGATGATCCATTAGGTGAGGTTAATATTTTCTTAGAGGTGACAGTCATTATGAACATGAGACCTAGGGATGAATGAACAATAATATAACTATTTTATCATCTTCATTTCTTCTTTAAGAAGTGCCAATCACCATACCTGACTTCAAGCTCTATTATAGAGCTATAGTCCTGAAAACAGCTTGGTATTGGCACAAAAATAGACACGTTGACCAATAGAACCGAATTGAAAGCCCTGATTTTAACCCACACACCTATGAACACTTGAGCTTTGACAAAGAAGCTAAAACTATACACTGGAAAAAGAAAGCATCTTCAACAAATGGTACTGGCATAACTGGGTATTGGCATGCAGAAGACTGCAGATAGATC